AGAGAGAGAGAGAGAGAGAGAGAGAGAGAGAGAGAAGAAGAAGAAAGGACAGGGGATTGGCGGAGGGAGGTGGGGGAGCAACAGGGAGGACGAAGGGAAAGAGATGGCGGTCGGGATCAATCACCGCCGCACCTTCGGATCTGTAAATCGCAACAGCCCATTGATTGCCCCAGTCCGCAAGCAGGCCCAAAGCAACATATACAACAGGAGGAAATAGTTAACGAAGGAAGTGGTTTAAGTACACCGACCGCCAAGATATGACTTATAACCGCAGTCGGTGGGACCCATCTGCAATCTCCCGCAAACTTCGACAAATTGTCATTCGTCGCTCGTTGCCGCCCACTCTCTCTCCAAGCGCTGGTGCTCTTTCGCGCCACCAAAGGCTATACTTGACAATCAGAAGACCTGTCGTGCCACCTCCAGACCAGGATCGCTATCGATCTGATCGCTCGCCTTTTGCAGCCGCCACGTCACCAAGCTCCGTCTGACGAAGATTATACAGCGAAGTACAGATCGTCGTCAACGCCACAGCGACCAAAGCGAGCGACCCTGCGCACATGCGCTTTGGCGGGCGTGAGAGAGAGAGAGAGAGAGAGAGAGAGAGAGAGAGAGAGATGGGCAGTTCTCACGAGAGACAAGATGGTTGCGCCGTCGGCTCTCGCGGCAAGACCATAAACCGGCTAATTAGAAAACTGGCCGACGAAAAACTACGGTGGTCTCCTTCCACGCAGTGAAGCCCCAGCAAGTTCGATCGATCACCGACGCGCCACCCTGGTCGCCTCCCTGCCCGTTCGTTCACTACCGGTAGGCCCCCGCTCGATCGGTGGCTGTACTGTGTATCACACAAACCACACGCTGATTTGAATTGCCCGGTCAATTTTCTCATGTACGGGCCCGCCTTCGGGTTTTCCCTGAACCAGAATCTCACAGGTGTGCCCGCTTGTTTCTCCCCGCCAGACGTCGTTTCATTGCGTGTCGGACTCACAACTGGCTCTTCAGCCTCACGCAGCGAGTGTCGCGCGATCGGCGCGCTTCGCTCGCCGAACTGCTCGTCCGACTCACGGCTCGCCCTTCAGCGCGGACGAGTTCACTTCTTTTTCTTTTTTTTTGGGCGAGAAAGCTTCCGAAATGCCCCTACGACTTCCATTGTTTGCAATATGCCCCTCTGACGACCTACTACCCTGTCCCGCCCCTTGAGAACGATTGAAGATTCTGAAAATCCCCGGCGTCGTTTGGGCCTCAAATACGTTCAATATGCCCCTACCGGTACCAGTTCCATATTTTAGTATGCCCTGGTAGCTCTCCTCCCAGGGCCAGGGGAACAACGTTACTGCCATCGAAGGCCACAGGGCCGTTGTTAGCCTGCCAAGCAGTTGGTTGTGTGTTCGAGTCTTGTATTGGGATTACACGTGGTTTTGCGCAATAACTGCTGTAGAGATTATACTATGGGCAGTATGGCTGCGTAGGGGTGAGAGTGGTTGGGCACACCATGTCGAGGGATCTCTGTGCTGAGATGGGTTGAAGTGGGTTGAAGTGCTCCTCTTGGAGCTTCACTTTCACCCCGGCCCACTTAGCCTTATGGTTAGGTGTTTACTGCCGAACTGTTAGTTGTGTGTTCGAGTCTTGTACTTGGATTACACACGTGCTGGAAAGTTGCAAGTGCAGGAAACTTCAAAATTCCCAAGGACACCACCGAACGAATTTGGAGAGGTGTTGCAAATGATTTTCCCTAATTTTTGTTTGTTTCGTTTCTTGACGAGTTCCCTTAGGTTTTTGCAAAGCACTTCAATTCTCGGGGCAGCAGGAGAGACTTTAGAGTCAGGGGTGTAGCTGATTTGGTAAGGCACACCAGTGGCATTCAGGAGATCATCGTTTCGAGTCTGAGGTCTGGACCCCACAGCGTGGTGGCATAGAAAGCACAGGAGGCTGCCATCCCTGGAACTCGCCCGCTACCAATGCAGGATCCCGTTTTCGTGCACTCTCCGGTTTAGGTGCTTCCCGAATTCGCAGCCCTAAGGCTGGGGTATAGTGGGCTTCGGCGTCTGCATCAAGGTGTCACATTTTTTGCGGCGGGCAACCAGGACGCAAAGTGGGTTTTTAGGGGGCAAAAACAATTGGGGGACCAGTCCTTGGCAAAATTGCGAACTACCTACAGCTAGCTCTGATAGAAGCGGGACTTCTGGAAAAAGGAAGGACCGGTCCTCGGGTGGAAGTGGACCCCAAAAAGAAATGGGGGGCGTTGGACCGGTCCTTGGGTAGAAGCAGAACCCCAAAAGAAGTGAGGGCGTGTGAACTGCAAAAGGGCCCTCAGGCCCAAGCGTTGAGGCCCGTCTTCTCAAAACATGGAGGTCAGGTGCAACGAAACAGGCGTTTTGCAAGAGGCAACTTTGGCGATTTTTTTTTAGCTCGGATGAACCAGCACAAAAATCGGAAATTTTGAGAATCCATAGATGCGGTCGTGTTCTTTCCAGGAATAATATTAGAACATTCTCAAAAAATCATTTAGAATGCAAAATAATCGTCGCGCCAATTCAGCACATTTTCCATTTTTGCCACTCAGCCACATGTGGGCCAACTGAAAAAGTACTCCAAATTCAGTGAGTTTTCGCACTCAAAAGAATGCCTGAAAATACCTGAAAAGTGGAGTACTCATGGATTTTGTTGTGATCTTCCCAGAAAAATGCTCAATAAATTTTAAAAAATCGTTCCAACTGTGAAATAGATCATGGCTGCAATTTGACCCATATTTCAATTTTGTCATTCAGC